GTGTTGTGGTGGTGGTGGTAGTAGACATATATATATATATATATATATATATATATATATATATATATATATATATATATATATATATATATATATATATATATATATATATATATATATATATATATATATATATATATATATATACACCAAGTATGAGAGGAAATTACTTCTCTACCCATAATAACGCGACTGTTTTTGTTTTTTAGAGAATATTTTCGAAAGTCGGGAGAGTATTATTGTAGTTACTTAACCTTACCATCTAGGACCATGCCATTCACAAATCGGTCATATAAAGAAACAAATAATTAAATACAAATATATCAACAAAAACATAAACTCGACAATTGTTATAAAAATGCATAAATGAAGGAAAAAAACATAAAAAAGAGAGATATTGATAGAAACGTCGTCAATGGATGATAAAAGGAGGAAAAAAACAAAAAGTGAAAAACTCGGACTAACTCGAGCCACCTTTTGATAGATTAAGCAAAGCACAATTGAACGAGTGTGATGAACGTGTAGCGCGAGCAGTAACAGTATCATCATCATCCTAAAAAATCTGAACATGTCATTACGTTCACTGAAGCCGAGCTGTAAAAAAACAAAAAAAAAACAAAAGAAACAAAATATGACATACATGACTATTCCAAATCTCAGGAGCCATGCAGAAGCTTCAGTCAAAGTCCAGGTAAAAAAAATAATTAAATGAAATAGATTTTTTATAAACTACGAAAAAATAGATATATATATCATGTGTATAATGCAAAGTGTGACAAAAAAAAGGCATTTATAGTCTTGATTTGATTATTTTTTGTATATTGATGAGGAGGGAGGGGAGTGAAGCTGATTCGAATACCATTGCTTCAGTCTCATGCAGTTGGGCTCAGATCGTCTCAAATAGCCTGCTGGTGTGGAGGCGATATAAACACACACAGCGCACGAAGCTGTTTCAGACCTCAGTCATGGAAGGGAGAGGAAGGTTGTGCTATAAAGCTCTCATTTTCCCCACAATGCACCATAGAGAGGAACATACACACATACACAAGCTTCTTAAGTAACATCTAAGGATAAATAATTTGATGGAAATAAAGAGATTGGCCAAGAAGCCTCATAACATATCAACAAGGAGTATTAAGAAAACAACAACAACAACAACAACGAGGATCCACAGGGGCGGCTCACAGCCATGTTAGCAAGCCACACAGGTAAAGAAAAGATGGTTAGTCAAGAAAAGAAAACAAAAAACAAATAAAGAAAATGGGAAACCAAAACCAAAATATCAACAAAAGAAAGTTTCTCAGATGAATGAAAAAAAAATAGTTCAACGTAAAAATTGAAAACAGAAAGTTCTTAGTTGAACGTAAAACACAAACAAAACTTACTGCTTGAACGTAAACAGGACAGAGAGAGGGAGAAAGAACTGAGGGTAAGCCGTAGCCAGTACCGTGGCTTAGTGACACACAGTAGGTTAAACACTGGACGATGCTTGCCAGTGTTCATGTAAAACCTCCGAATTCAGAGTCAGAGTTCTTATGGGAGGATACAAGTGGAACGCCCCCAAATGTTCGCCGAGTTTGTTATTATACTTACATCAATATAAATGCGTGGGTATTGTAACACTTATACAAGCATACAGCATACATACACAGCAGGAAGGCACAAACAAACGAACAAACATCAACATGGCAGGATCAACAGTGAGTGACCAGTGATGGTGACCAACAGTGAGTGACCAACAGTGAGTGACCAACGGGTGGAATTTGGGGTGTGGAAGAATGAGCCCCAAGCCTAATAGGCCCCAGTCTTAATAGGCCCCAGTCCTAATAGCCCCCAATCTAAACTAACCTACCCATTAGGATTAGACCCCAGTCGTAAAGGGGCCATGCCTCTTTAAGGGGTGTTGGTGCTTGGGGTGGGTTGAAAAGGGGGGGGGGAGTTGGGCCGGCTATAGTCTTAAGAGCCAGCAACGGCGTGCATAACACCGCTGAACGGGTCAGTCAGTCAATCACACGGGGAAGCTGTACTTTAAGCTCACTAATGAAGCCGAAAAGTAGAAAAATGAAAGCTTAATGGAACCTCATCTCTATAGACCTAACGTATAGCCCTACTCACGGTCAAAAGTAATGTCGTCTCTCCTGCTGCTGGTCGACGAGCCCCAAGATTCAGACTCGTGAATCCGAATCCTTTATGGACAAAATAGTGCATCAGTCACTACTACTTCGGGTTCGGGTTCAGTTAATCTCGGGTTCGTTGAACAGCAAGAAAGATGACAGGACTTTTGACCGTGATTAGACTATGTTAAAAATATCTCGCATCAACATTAACAAAATAGTGTTGTTATTGATATATAAAATACAGTACATCACATAAACACAATTGATTTCTGTTTTTGGCTTTGCATAGAATACCCCCCCCCCTAAAAAAAAGAAAATTCTGACATAAAAAAATAGATTTCACATTAAAAAAATCGCCAAACTTGAAAATTTTTGCATATTGCCAAAAAAATCATCATCAGCTGAGAGAGAGAGAGAGAGAGAGAGAATCATACATGAATCATACAGAAAATAATACTTCTCCGCATCCTTCATACATTCAACCTTTAATCTGTAAAAATATATATATATATATATATATATATATATATATATATATATATATATATATATATATATATATATATATATATATATATATATATATATATATATATATTCTTTTAAATAACAAAAACAAATATGTAGATAATTCCCGTCCTTAATAGACTACTTTATATAATTATCTCCTACGACTTAAAATAATAATAATAATAATAATAATAATAATAATAATAATAATAATAATAATAACAATAAATAAATAAAAATCAATCAAAAGAAAATATTTCTTAAATCTCGCTAAAAACTCACACAAGAGAAAATAAAACAATTAATAAATATTTTCCTTTACCAAATATTTCTCATTGTTGCCTCAACCTGGTGACTTATGACAGACCGTAACACTCCTCGTCTCCATCACCTCATCAGCACAACATCACCTCCTGTATCTACATGAGGAAGTTATTCCCAAGGTAAACCCAAGGTAAAGTAATTAACCCTCTATCATCTTCACTGCAATAGGCAGAGGTGTTCCTTTCCTTCATAATTATGCATCACTAAACCAAATCCTACAAAATTTTTTGTTCATTATCACTTCTAAATGTTGAAAAAAATACAGTGTCACCAAGAAAACAATGTACAAATTTTGATATCGGGTATATTTTTGGATGACCCTGTATTTTAGGCAAAGAAAGGGTTAGGTAGAAAGAGTTTTGGCTTGTGTGATTATTCTAGATTTCAGTAGCTTGAGCTAGTAAACCTTGTAGGCCTATCCTCCCTGTAGGGCATCATCCCTATAGGCCTATCCACCGTTGTAGGCCTATCCACCGTTGCAGGCCTATCCACCGTTGTAGGCCTATCCACCGGTGTAGGCCTATCCACTTTGTAGGCCTATCCTGCCATGTAGGCCTATCCACTCTATAGGCCTATATTCCCCATTTTTACGTACTTACCCTGTACATCATCAGTTCTGTTACAAAATACAGAGAATGTACACAGCACGTACATACACCCAGTACTGCATATGTAGTGTACTGTACATCATAGAGTTGAATGTACACCATCTTCACACACGTTGTTATTCGATTATTTTTTTACACACTAAGTGATTTTTCTATCCCATATGAGTTATAAATATTCCACACCATATGTAGTTGTGACACATATAAAGTGTTAAACTGTGTCACGCACTGTATGTTATTATATACCACACGTCAGAAGACAACAACAAAACAAAAACAACAAAACACATTAGGTGTAAACTATTATGACACTTGTTGTACCAATGTTTTACAAGTTGTACAATAATTCACCCAACAGGTTATAAATCATTTAAACACATGAGATGTAAATGATCTCACACACACTAGATGTAAATTATTCAACACACTAAGTGGAAATTATTTTAACACATTAGGTGCACATGGTTTTACAAAGGTGCAAAATTATTTCACACACACACACACACACACACACACACACACACACACACAAACACACACAACAGGAGCTACTGATTCCGCTTCGTGCCCTCTTCTCGGACCTCCAACCAAAATGATAATAAAATTTATTGGGAACGTAAGTACTGTAGTAGTAGTAGTAGTAGTATTAGTAATAGTAGTAGGTAACAAAATAGTGGCGAAGGTGTGGCTATTGGGGGAAGTTGGAGGCCACGTTAAGAAAGTGTAGTAGTAGTAGTAGTAGTAATATTAGTATACCTTTGAAGGGAGACGTGAACACTGTAGAAATAGTAATAGTAGAATTAGTTGTAGTAGCAGTTGTAGTTGCAGAAGTATTAGTAATAGTTGTTGTAGTAGTTGTAGAATCATTGATGGATGAAACGCAATCGTGGTAGTAGTAGTAGTAGTAGTAGTAGTAGTAGTAGTAGTAGTAGTAGTAGTAGTAGTAGTAGTAGTAGTAGTAGTAGACAGTAGTAAAGTAGTAGTAGTAGTAGGAATAGTAGTAAAAGCAGTAGTAATAGTAGTAAAAGTAGTAGCAGTAGTAAAGTAGTAGTAGTAGTAGTAGTAATAAAGAAAGAAGGAAGGAAGGAAGGAAGGAAGGAAGGAAGGAAGGAAGGAAGGAAGGAAGGAATAAAGGTATAGAATAGTAGAAGAAGAGAGAAATGAGTGAATGAAAGGCTAAATGTGCTTTACAAACACCACCATTTTAGAGAGAGAGAGAGAGAGAGAGAGAGAGAGAGAGAGAGAGAGAGAGAGAGAGAGAGAGAGAGAGAGAGAGAGACACACGATGGATGGATGAAAAGGGTAACTGAGTCGCTACACTCTAAAATGGTTGGCGTCACCTTCCCCTGTGGGTCTCTCCTTGCCGAGATGATGGCAGGTGTAAACGTGTGAGGAGGGGGGCACTTACGGTTCATTGGCTTCAAACACTTACAGAACTTACTGAAACCAGCTGATAAGAATGATTCATCATAGCTATTAAGAGATTGAGCAGCACGATGACGTTGATGACAGAGTACGTCCCAAACATCAACATCCCCCAAAATCTGGTGAATGGTTTGATGCCCGTCAGTTCGAAGTTGGTGAGATCGATGAGGCCGAATGCTGCCCAGAAGAGAGTTTGTGTCGTCTCGAACAGGCTGGAGGGGGAGAGGAGGGGGTGTTGTTAGTTGAATGGTGATAACATCTGCTATTACTATTATTATTATTATTATTATTATTTCTACTACTACTACTTTGTGTATCTCAACAACAATAACGACAACTACCACCACCACTACTTACTTTGAGAATCGCCTCCACACTATGCACGAGTCGATGTTTGGACCCGAATCTTCATCCCCTGAACCTGAACCTGATGTCATGTTATCTTGCGGCTGTCCCTCCTCATCACACGTCTGCTTCTCTAAGTCAGCGTAGAACCACAACAATTGGTTCATACCTGAGGTGGAAGACGAGGGTGTTAGCGAACCGATATTGGGTGATTGGTTGGTTCTCTCTGTCTCTCTCACTGCCTCATTCTCTCCCCCCTTCTCTCTCCCTATCTCTTCATACTCACCACAGGAGAAAGCGAAGAGCGTGAGGAGGTAGAGGAAGATAAACTTAAGAATGTCCACCACCATCCTGGATAAAGACACCTGCAGTGGCCCCAGGTAAGGGTTCACGCTGAAGATGTACACCAGCTTGAGGGAACTGAAACACACGAGACACATGTTAATTTATCTCTCTAACTTCTCTCTATCTCTCTCTCACTATCTCTATTTCTCAATTCCTTTCTAGTTTTAGCTTTTTCTTTCTCTCTCTATTTGGAAGGGGAATATTTGAGCTATTTGAGAGACGAACGGACTTTAATAGCTGACTGTACAAGAGCAGATATCATATACAACAAGAGGAAGGATTCAATTAGTGGACTGTACAACAAGTGTTCTGGCTCACCTGTACAGTAGTCTCTCTCACCTGTACAGTAACTCACCTGAAGATATTAGCAGCGGCAAAGAGACCCTCAGCAATCAACATGGGGTCCCAGGTATCCCAGTTTTGTCTAGGTAGGTTGTCTGTACCTAAGTTTTTCCGAATTTCTCTCTGTACCTGTTGAGAGAGAGAGAGAGAGAGAGAGAGAGAGAGAGAGAGAGAGAGAGAGAGAGAGAGAGAGAGAGAGAGAGAGAGAGAGAGAGAGAGAGAGAGAGAGAGAGAGAGAAAGAGATTAATTAGTTTTATTGTTATTGCTTGTTGGACATACATACATACATACATACATACATACATACATACATACATACATACATACATACATACATACATACATACATACATACATAAATACGAAATAAAATTACATATAAAAGAAAATCAGATGAAAATATCATCTTCTCAAAATTCTTAATTAAGGTAAGTTTGTGAGTCTCGATTTTTAATGTGCAAAAGAATGAAGAAAACTTTCTCTCTCTCTCTCTCTCTCTCTCTCTCTCTCTCTCTCTCTCTCACACAGGGAAGAGTAGTTAGGAAAGTCTTAATAAGGCTCCCTCTTTGATACACCTTCGTTTAAGTCTTTTATACTGAAGAAATAAGTGTGTGTGTGTGTGTGTGTGTGTGTGTGTGTGTGTGTGTGTGTGTGTGTGTGTGTGTGTGTGTGTGTGTGTGTGTGTGTGTGTGTGTGTGTGTGTGTGTGTATACTGTACTTACTGTGTTTATTATTATTATTATCATTTCATAGTCTTTGTTAACTCACACAAATTCATCACAATCAAATTATTTATCCAACATAAAACAGAAAACAAAACAAAAAAATAGTCACGTGGCAACCGAGTAACTCTAACTTTGTTTACATAGTGTTGCCATCGGGGTGAGTTCCGGAAAAATGAGATTTGCATTCAGAGTATTATCACATTTTGGTTCGATCCATCCAGAAGTGAGAGCAATTCCCGGATGCTATTACGCTAGGTTGAATGCTGTTATATATACGTGTGTGTGTGAGAGAGAGAGAGAGAGAGAGAGAGAGAGAGAGAGAGAGAGAGAGAGAGAGAGAGAGAGAGAGAGAGAGAGAGAGAGAGAGAGAGAGAGAGAGAGAGAGAGAGAGAGAGAGAGAGAGAGAGAGAGAGAGAGAGAGAGAGACCCCACACACATCCACCCACCAGCACCTATCCCTTACACCTATCTACCTATCCTCCCTCACCTGGTAGTAAGCGACGATCCTGAGGGCTATGGTACGCCACGTAGAGAGCGTTGGTGATGAAGTCTATGACGTTCCACATGTCCCCGACGTACTCCCGAAGCCCGACGTCCCACAGTTGTTTGATTTCCGACCATATCAGTCCTGTCGGTGGGCGGTGAAGGGAAGGTGAGGGATGGACCTTAGTTGACATGGGCCCTTAGTTGACACGGGCCCTTAGTTGACATGGGCCCTTAGTTGACATGGGCCCTTAGTTGACATAGACCTTTAGTTGACATAGGTTCTAAGTATATACAAGCCTTATTAGTCTACACGTGACCCTTGTCTTTGCTCTTAACTCCCACTCACCAAACACCCAGGTCTCCACTCCGCCCTCTCACCCACACCATTCACTCCGCCCACTCCCCCACACCACTCACTCCCCCACACCACTCACTCCTCCACACCACCCACTCCCCTACACCACTCACACCACCTACTCCGCCCACTCACCAAACACCCAGGCCAGTATTAGCCACTCCACCAGACTGGGCGGCGCTCCCCTGCGGGTGGTGACGTCAGTAGCCACCCACTTCTTAAGGGTGGGTGTCGCCCCGAACCAGTCCACGATTACAGTCTCTATCCGCTGAGACGCCAGGATCAACAAACCTGTCGAGGAAGGTGACTGTTAACTGAGGAAGGTGACTGTTAACTGAGGAAGGTGACTGTTAACTGAGGAAGGTGACTGTTAACTGAGGAAGGTAACTATTAACTGAGGAAGATGACTGTTAACTGAGGAAGAAGACTGTTAACTGAGGAAGGTGACTGTTAACTGAGGAAGGTAACTATTAACTGAGGAAGAAGACTGTTAACTGAGGAAGATGACCGTTAACTGGGAAAATACTTCACAGATACACTTAACAACAAACAGACACTCAGATCAACCCACAGACACTCAGAACAACCCACCCACTAAACCACAGACACTCAGAACAACCCACCTATTGACCCAAAGACACTCTGAATAAGCTTCCCATTAACCCAAAGACACTCAGACCAACCCACAAACACTCAGACCAACCCACAAACACACAGACCAACCCTCAGACACCAACACCAGCCCACAAACACTCAGACCAACCCTCAGACACCAACACCAGCCCACAAACACTCAGAACAACCCACCCCACTAACCCACAGACACTCAGATCAACCCACAAACAATCAGATCACCAAAAAAACACTCACAGAGGAAGGTGAGATAGGAAGCTGAATGACAGATGAACTTGATAAACGGTTTCCTCATAGTTTGGCCTAGGGAGGTGTGAGGGGCCAAGACATACACGATGGAGAAGATGGGGAAGAGGAGACCAATCTTGACGATCTCCAAGGCTTGTAGGGCCATGTTCTTCCTCCTAAATCCTGGGAGACCTTCATACCAGATGGAGGCCAGGAGTTGTTGTACGTTGGGATGAGCCACGAACTGTGTTGGAGAGAGAGTGAGAGAGAGAGAGAGAGAGAGAGAGAGAGAGAGAGAGAGAGAGAGAGAGAGAGAGAGAGAGAGAGAGAGAGAGAGAGAGAGAGAGAGAGAGTAATAAACAACGTAAATAACCTCACAATTTTTATTTTTCTCAAGATCTAATTGGATAAGCTATCAGTGGTGGGATTACAAAGAGACTTCTGATTGGTTAAGATTCGCGTGAATTCCCGTTGGCAAAGACAATCTAGAAAGCAATCACACGCTCTGATTGGTTGAGACTATGCAACCCTGTGCAATGGGAATACAAAACCAACTATGATTGGTTAGGGGAATGCACACTGGGACAAGGGAATCACTAGGCCTTTCTCTGATTGGTTGAGACAGATGCTAATTAAAGATATATAGTTAAGGTGGAGTCTCAGAGTAAGTATGTGTGTGTGTGTGTGTGTGTGTGTGTGTGTGTGTGTGTGTGTGTGTGTGTGTGTGTGTGTGTGTGTGTATCGCTTACCTTTATCAACACGAGAATACAACATCTGGTTTAACGATAAATAGTTACTGCTAATAATCATGGTGTCTGAGATACTACTACTACTACTACTACTACTACTACAGACAGACAGACAGACAGACAGACAGACAGACAGACAGACAGATGACAGACAGACACAGACAGACAGACAGACCAGCCCCCATCCACCTGCACTCCCCATCTGAGAATTTAATTCTAAACAGTTTTTCCCCATTACATCCTACACCCCACCTCACTCACCCCCCCACCTCATCCCCCCACTCCCCACTCCTCACCCCCACTCCCTCATCCCCCTTACCCCCACTCACCCCCTACTCCTCACCCCCTTACCCCTACCTCACCCCTTACCCCTCACTCACCCCTTACCTCACCCCTCACCCCCTATCCTCACCCCTTACCCATATCTCCCTTACCTTCACCCCCTACCTCATTTCAAACTACAAGTGAGACGCCAAAACTAAATTAAATACTTACCATTCAAAATTAAGTCAAGATACTAACTTAATTTCGTACTAAGTTAAGAAAATTAATTAAGTGAAAATATTAATTAGAAAAAATAATACTTTATGGTGATCTAACTTAAGAATAAAACTAAAGATAATTATTCTAAGTTTCTTCTCAAAAATTTCTGCCGTGAGATTAAAAGAAACTTGAAAAAAATAACCCGTAAATAAAAGACCATGAGTTTCTTTCTTTCTTTCTTTCTTTCTTTCTTTCTTTCTTTCTTTCTCTCTCTCTTTCTTCCTTTCTTTCTCTCTCTCTCTCTTTTCCACCCGATGAATTCTTATGTTAAAACCGGGTCTCTAATTAAACTGTGAACCTGAAAAAAAAGGTGAGATAAAAAAGAGGTTTGTTTCCGGGTTATGAAGAGTATAAAACCCGGATATTGGGAGGAAGAGGAGGACAATACTGGGTAGTGATGGATGTAGTGTGTGTGAGAGAGAGAGAGAGAGAGAGAGAGAGAGAGAGAGAGAGAGAGAGAGAGGTAGATTTGATCTCTCCTGCTTCAATACAAAAGGCACACTCTAATTAAATGTTCACCACAGTCTCTTTCTTTTTAATTTGGTAGCCTGCCATCTTGGTTGTTGACAGCTTGGGGGTGACGAAGGGGTGGGGGGGGAGGGAAGGAGAGAGGGGTAGGGGGGGCTGGAGGGGGGGGAGGGGAGGGAAGGAGAGGGGTAGGGGTTGGGAGGGGGGGGGGGAGTCATCTGCATAAGAATGAGCTTATGGACGAGAATATTTTGAGGAGAGAGAAAGAGGGTGGGGTGAGGGAGGGAGGATAGGGGAGGAGAAGAGGAAGGAGGGAGGTGATAGGGGAGGGGAGAGAGGGAGGGGAGGGAGGGAGGGGAGGGAGGGGGAGGGAGGGAGGGAGGAGGGAGGGAGAGAAAGGTGAATCCCCATTGTTATTATTCACCTTGAGGGCCTTTTTTAAACACACACACACACACACACACACACACACACACACACACACACACACACACACACACACACAACACCAACCACCATACCTTCTTCTGTTTCAACTTAATGGCCAATTTTGAGGCGATTCAGGCATCCCTCTCCCCGTTCGTGAGGGGGCCCTGTAGGATCGTGGTTGAGTAGGACTTCCAGTTCGTAGGATGATCGTGTGTGGTCTAAGAGGGCCGTGGCGAAGTCCTGACATTGTTTCCTGAGCCTTGTGGGAGAGAGAGAGAGAATTAGAGAGAGGAGAGAGAGAGAGAGAGAGAGAGAGAGAGAGAGAGAGAGAGAGAGAGAGAGAGAGAGAGAGTATGGCATGGTAGACGAATACAGTAATACAGTGACACATAGGAGGTGGTAATACAGTGATGATACAGTGATGTGGCGGTACAATGGTATATATTATGACTGTAATATAATGAAACAATGGACTATCGCTTATTGGTTTATTTAACTAATTTATGCATGAGTAATAAATTAAAGTTGATGTAGGTAATTAGATGCGTAGAGTCCATGGAGTACGCTCTATCTCACTCACTCTCTTTCTCTGTCTTTTTTCTCACTCTCTCTCTCTTTCTCTGTCTTTTTTCTCACTCTCTCTCTCTTTCTCTCTTTCATTCTCTCTCTCCATCTCCCATTTTATCTCTCCCTCACAAACACTCTCCTTCTACCTTTGTCTATGTCTCTGTTTATCTCTTCCTCTCCCTCTCTCTTTCTTTCTCACATAAACACATTTTCTCTCTTACCAGCTACAAAATCCCCACAAAGGCCTCCTCCTCCTCTGTGTTTATCCAGGTAGAAAACTCTCAAAGTCTTGCTGTACAAACTATATTATTTTGTCACGCTAACACAACACCACTTTGTAAACAACTTTGAGAGAGAGAGAGAGAGAGAGAGAGAGAGAGAGAGAGAGAGAGAGAGAGAGAGAGAGAGAGAGAGAGAGAGAGAGAGAGAGCCAGCCGCGCCTCCTTACTGGGTGAGCGCGCGGGCTGGTGGGGAAAACTCTACGGATATCTCTTGCCACGTTTCACTTACTCTCTTGTCTGTTTAGTGGTGATTAATAATAATAATAATAATATTATTATTATTATTATTATTATTAATCACACACACGCACACAGACACATACACCTTGTCTCAGCGTTTATGTACTGGAGTCACGTTCAAAATAATGCTCTTCTCTTGCCTCCTAATGACCACGAGGGCCCCAGAGAGGTACCTCACCCCCCCGAGAGGTACTCCACCTCCCCCCACACTCCCGAGATACAGAGAACCACAACGTACTTAAGAAGCGATGAGTGTTTGTTAAGCGTCAACAGCAAGTGCAAAAAAAGAAAATTGTTCCTAGTAAGAGAGAGAGAGAGAGAGAGTAAAATTATCTCTCCCACCTTTCTCAACCTTACCTAAAACAGCCCATAATCCCGTTGAAGTGAAAGAAGAAAGAAGATTAAGGAAGATAATCAATTTGTGAAGAAGTTAGTTGAGGGAGGCAAGTTTTAACGAAGGCCACGTGATAACAGCACTAATGAGCCACAGGTAAAAAATGGATCACCAGGTAAGAATCTTTTTGTTGACGAGACTTTACTTTTCTCCTTCCTTCTCCTCTCCATCTCACACTCTCCTCCCTTCCTTCCCCTCTACCTACTCTCTTCCCCATCTGTCTCTCTGTATCTCTCTCTCTATCTCACTTTCGCTGTACCATAATATGTATGAGTTTACTAATCGCTTTTGTTATATAAAGGTCAAAGTTCAAATATTTCATTATTAAAGGTGAAGCATACTGAGTACTGTATACCCCAGGGCCTCTATACTGTGTTCGGTTATAGAGACCGATAGATAGATAGATAAATAGATAGATAGATAGATAGATAGATAGATAGATAGAAATTACAACAGCAAAATAAACAAGACAGCGAGAAAAGTGACGAGAATTCTCTACCTCATTCTAATTAATGGCCAGGTAACACTCCGCTGCCCACCTCAATCACCTGGTACCCGCTCCACTCACCTGGTACTCCACTCTACTCACCTGGTACTCCACCCTACTCACCTGGTACTCGCTCCACTCACCTGGTACTCGCTGCGAAACTCGTGCTCCATGAAGGACAGCCTGCGGAGTTCCCATGACAGCTCGAAGGCGGTGAGGATGGGGTCCTTGGATGAGAGGGCGATGAGGGAGGGTGAGGCCAGAGCTCTGTAGGCGTTGATGCGACTCCTACTGTGTCTCAGGGAGTCCTCAAGGCGGGAGGTCACGCACTCCTCACACCCGCACCTGGAGGATGAGGTCAGGTAATATTAAGGTGTGAGGTAGATGAGAGGTTATGTTGAGGTGTGAGAGGTAGAGAGGAGGAAGAGGAGGAGGAGGAGGAGGAGGAGGAGGAGGGAGGAGGAGGAGGAGGAGGAGGAGGAGGAGGAGGAGGGAGGAGGAGGAGGAGGAGGAGGAGGGAGGAGGGAGGAGGAGGAGGAGGAGGAGGAGGAGGAGGAGGAGGAGGAGGAGGAGAGGGTTGGGTCATACAGGATCTGATGTACTAAGGTTTTCTTTCTCTCTCTTCTCTCTCTCTGCCTTTTCTTCCTCCCTCAAGAAACACTCATATACAGGACAGAGGTCAAGATGGTGGTCTTAAGATCTACAGGAGTACTTTAGTCCGGGGTCAAAGGTCAAGTTGTGCTAAGAGAGTCAAAGTGATCCCTGGAGGTACTGTCCAAAGGAGGCATTAAGTCCTAGATTAGCTGGAGGCCGAGAGAGAGAGAGAGAGAGAGAGAGAGAGAGAGAGAGAGAGAGAGAGAGAGAGAGAGAGAGAGAGAGAGAGAGAGAGAGAGAGAGAGAGAGAGAGAGAGAGACATAAAACTCCTCTTGTACTCTAGCTGGGAGAGTTGAGTTATCATTTTGCTTTTTAAATAGAAGATGAGAAGAGAGAAGAGGCGGGTTGAGATGGAGAGATGAGATCAGTGGTTCCAAGGGAGGCTCAGGCGCTGGAGGATCACCCACACTCCTCTCTCTCACACAATAATATTAAAACCCTGGTCCCTCCTCTCCTCCCAGAAACTGAAGCAGAGGGGAGAAGTGACCCACAGCCCTTACACACACACACACACACACACACACACACACACACACACACACACACACACACACACACACACACACACACACACACACACACACACACAGAGGACCATTAGACAAGTCTCCTCGGGTCACCAACAACGTGAACAAATTATATGAAGAAAAACCCACAATGATTCTCTTTAGGTTTGTGGAAGTTGTTGATGAAATATAAATCCATCGAACAGAGGTCAAGGTCATAGGTCATACATGAAGGTCAACTCACTCTAGGAACCATGGACAATTCTTGACCGATTATTATGATATTTACACATTTAACCTAACCTAACCTGTAAGACCCATTGGTAAGAGTGGTAACAGTGTAAAAGTGGTAATATTGGTAGCAGTGGAGCCTGGAGAAACAGCAACACACACACACACACACATACACACACACACACACACACACACACACACACACATACACACACACTCGGGTCGGCAGAGATAAAGTATACGCAAGAGCCTGACATATGACCTAACTTAACCTCTCTTGTTTACTACTGCCACCATCCTCGCCTTGTACACGTATTTCTGGTTAGGTTAGGTTAGAGTTAGGTTAGGTTAGGTTAGGTTAGGTTTGGTTAGCGTTAGGTTATGTTTGGTTTGGTTAGGTTAGGTTTGGCTAGGTTTGGTTAGGTTAGGTTTGAAAACTACATGTTACTTTCTTTCATTATTTGCTACGTAAAGACCTAACATACAAGACGTGTGTTGTTCCGTGTTATTGCGTGTGTTCTGCGTGTGTTACTGCGTGTGTTTCTGCGTGTGTTATTGCATGTTACTGCGTGTGTTATTGCGTGTTATTTGGCGTGTTCTTGCATATCTTCTTGCGTGTATTATTGCGTGTGTTCTTACGTGTGTTGCGTGTGTTACTGTGTACAAATGCCAGGGTTCACCTTTACTCAGCCGGCTCTGGAATGATTTAGGCTATTTAAAGAGACCGTCTTGCTTCACCTGCCGCCTCACTTCCCTGCCATATACCCCGTGGTGAGAGATATGAGATCTTATTAGTAATTCAAACCTCAAATTGGCTAACGTACTTAATTAGCTAATTACACACACACACACACACACATGCAAATAGTTAAGTTATGCGTGATTCTCTCTCTCTCTCTCTCTCTCTCTCTCTCTCTCTCTCTCTCTCTAGTTGTTATGGTGAGGCAAAGGTAGACGTGAGGTGAGAAAAGAAAGGAGGAAGAACCACGACCACCAGCCCTCAATGACGTGGGTTGACTCGTAAAGGATTCAGAAGAGAGCCTAGGTGTGCCCCCCCTCACCCCTCACCCATCACTCCTCCTCCTCACCCCACTCTTTGACCTCACACCTCTGGTTCCTTTCCTAAGTGTGTGTGTGTGTGTGTGTGTGTGTGTGTGTGTGTGTGTGTGTGTGTGTGTGTGTGTGTGTGTGTGTGTTTAGGGGAGCACCAGGTGAAGAAATAAGTGGATGTATTTATGGTAATATTACATATAGTCAAGAGTCGGTGTAGAGTTGATTTCACGGTTAAGAGATATCGCCATTCTCTCATCTCTCAGGTATTTTGGGATAGTCTCCGCTTGCTTGCCTGGTTATCGAGGTGTTGACATATGTTAAATTTGTCCGCATCAGGTCAGAACAGTTCAAATCAGGTAAGGTGGATAATTTACCTGAGAACAAGAGGGCCAGGTAAGGTAAGTCAGGTCAGGTGGAGGACTTACCTTAGATCATGAGGGCCAGGTAAGGTAAGTCAGGTCAGGTGGAGGACTTACCTGAGGACATGAGGACCAGGTAAGGTAAGTCAGGTCAGGTTAAGGACTTACCTTCGATCATGAGGGCCAGGTAAGGTAAGTCAGGTCAGGTGGAGGACTTACCTGAGGTCATGAGGGCCAGGTAAGGTGGCACCACGGTCGAGGAGGATCTTGATAATCTCATAGTTGTCTCTGTGAGCGGCCAAGATGAGCGGCGTGATGTCCGGGGTGAAGGTGGCCGTCTCCGGGGGGATGGCCTCCCAACTCTAGTGTGGCCATGGGGGGGAGGGGAGGGAGGGGAGGAGGACAGGAAAGAGGGGACAGGGAGGAAGAGGAGGAGGAAGAGAAGAAGATCAGAAGGAGGAGGAGGAAGAAGAGAAGGATGATCAGGCAGAGGCAGTAAGAAGGAGGAGGGAGGAAGTCAATGGTGGAGGACGAGGAGGAAGAGGAGACCAGACCACCATCACCGAGCACCATAGGAGACCAACCGTGAGGAGACGAAAGAAAGAGAGAGAGAAAAAAAAACAATAATTAAAAATACATGAAATAAAATAACAAATATAAAAAAATAAAATAAATAAATACAAAAATAAATAAAGAAATAAAATAAAATCCACTGACAGGTAATTTATTTTCTTAATTAACTGGTATCTATTATCATTCATTTCCCTTAATTATTATTCAAATTGTTTTCTTCATTCATTGTTTTTTGTATTTACATATCTATCAGCCTAATTATACCTCATTACCTATTAATTATCACAGGTATTAAAGAACGTAATCCAGCCTACTAGAGAGGGGGGGGAGGGCTATTAGAGGGGGCTATTAGCACTGTAATAGCCCCAATTTGAGGATAACGTGAGTTAGGCGTTTAATAAGCACTATCTCCCTGCAGTTGAGGCTAATGTAAGGTTCACTGATATTGCTATTACGGGGAAATTACCTCACCTGTACCTGTATGGGATTTTGTACCTGTACCTATATAGGGTTTTGTACCTGTAACTGTATGGGATTTTACACCTGTACCTGTATGGGATTTTACACCTGTACCTGTATGGGATTTTACACCTGTACCTGTATGGGATTTTACACCTGTACCTGTAAGGGATTTTACACCTGTACCTGTATGGGATTTTGTACCTGTACCTGTATGGGATTTTACACCTGTACCTGTATGGGATTTTGTACCTGTACCTGTATGGGATTTTACACCTGTACCTGTATGGGATTTTGTACCTATACCTGTATGGGATTTTACACCTGTACCTGTATGGGATTTTGAACCTATACGAGATTCTGTACCTGTATTTGTACCTGTAAAAGAATAATTAATACCTGTACCTGTATTTGTACCGGAAGAAACACTTGTAAGAAACAGTGTACCTGTATCTCTACATTGATAATTAAAACAACATTAAACCAGACAACAAAACAAAACAACACAGTTAAACCATCAACTTAAACCTAACCCCCCCCCAAAAAAAAATAATAATATAATTACGAACAAATTCACGAAAGAAAATTATATTACTTCTTTTCTTTCTCATAAATATCTGTTGCGACGTCGTGTCATTTGTATTCTTTCAACGAATTCCTGAAATATATTACGACTCCTCATAAAACTTAAGAACCTATGTTGCATCGTTTGGCAGCCATGTGTGTGTGTGTGTGTGTGTGTGTGTGTGTGTGTGTGTGTGTGTGTGTGTGTGTGTGTGTGTGTGTGTGTGTGTGTGTGTGTGTGTGTGTGTGTGTGTGTGTGGCGTCCCTCAAGAAGGACACATAACCCTTTTCCCATGACAAATTATATATACCTCAACATCCTAAGCCATTCCAGGTCAGAGGATGGGGGAACTTCCCTCATATCCGCTACAGTCCTGATGGAATCGCTTTGGCTATCCGGCTGTAAACGCCAGGGAAATAAGCCGAGCGATGGAGATAAAATAGCCTTTATCTCTCTTCTCTCCTGTTGTTCTTGGGGAGGAGGAGGGGGGGAGA